ATAATGAAGGGTGGGATTCAGGTGGTAGCGGGACATGTGGAGAAGATATATTTTTTAATGAGAAACTGACAGGACTTGCTAATGGATTGATTAGACGCAGGGTTTGGTGGTGAGCGGTTTTGAGGGAGGAGAACCAGGAGTTCTGTTTTGGAATCTACCTGTTTAAAGAATTTACTGGGGGTTAAATAGTGGGATAGTACCGTGACATTCTTATGGTTTCTTTTCCCATTTTATACTTATTAAACTGTCCCTCTAAGCAAGCAAAAACAAATTACAAAAACAGGAGGTCATGCCTAATCTAGAAACTTAGATACATTATAAAACTTTTTTTATTTTTAGAAACGCTTTCCCCTTTTTCACTTAATCTCTTAAAAATTCAGTGTCGATGGACTTCATCGTCGTCCGTTTCTTAGAATCTTCCGCTCTCTCACCTGGCAGTGCTGTAGGAGGCAGCGTCGTGGATCCCCACCACCGTGCTCCTTCTGGAAGATGGCTCCCCTGCACGTAGCTGCCGCCTCTTGCTCCTGCTGCGATGTGTGATACTAATTTGCTGCTGTAGTAGCCATGACATTAATCCACTTTCAGATTAATTGAATGACACGAAAGATCTTCCCCTAACCACCTCCTCCCCCCTGTCTCTATATTGACGGATTTAGCCATTAGCTTAAGTAGCTTTTAGTTGAGGTCATGTGTAAGATAGAATTTGTTTCTAGAGGTATATACTACTTTGGAAAGACAAAAGAAACTTGAGACATTTAATATATTGTAACAGATGACACTAAACAAAATTTTTATTAAATATATTGAGATGATATTGGTCAATAAGATTATATGTTTCAATATACACTATTATAATACATCATCTGTATATTACACGGTATGTTTATCACCCAAAGTTTAGTCTCCTTCTGTCACCATATATTTGACCCCCTTTACCCTTGTCTACCCCGCCTCATCCCCCTTCCCGTAACCACCATAGTGTTGTCTGTTTCAATAGGTTTTCGGTTGGTTGATTTGCTTGTTTGTTTGTTTTATTCATTCATATGTTGCTTTGTTTTATATCCCACATACAAGTGAAATCATATGATTCTTGTCCTTTAACAGCACAGATGAAATACTGCTATTTGCAACAACATGGGTGGATCTTGAGAGTGTCATGCTGAGCAAAATAAGTCAGACGGAATAAGCAAAATGTTAATAGTCACAGAAAATAAGATCTTTTCATGCTAGGGAAATGGCAAGAGGTTTAATCTTGACTTTCTCTTCAAATGCTGCCAGTAGCTGATGCTACAAGTTTCGGCGTGTTATTTAAGCTGTCTAAGCTTGGCTCCTTCATCAGTAAGAAGGGACTGATGATGCCTGTCTGTCTAAGAGAGTCGTAAAGATTAAATATGACATATCATGTAACTGTCTTTACCTAAAATGTACGAGTTCTTATTATGGAACCCAAATCTAAAGGAGCAGGCAGAGAATGTCACCTGTTCCTTCAGCGAAGGACAGTAGCGGTGAATTTGACACGTGCTTCTATGGTGAGATTGCCAGCACGTAAGCTGTTTGTAATACGCTGATATGACTTACGAGTGTTCATTCTCAAGTTAGTTGGAAACCAAGCATGTGTTTGTGTTCAGAATTTACCATCCTTGAGTTCTGGATCGAGTAGAGCCTACATCATTAAAAGAATATTGTTTGGTATTATTTTCTTTAATTTTGTGAGGAAGCAGTTCTAATAGCAAGGTCTCCAAATGTTTCTCTTGACACAATAGAATTTACTGTGCCAGGAGAATTCCAAAATAATTTTGTTTTTACAACCAGTTTATTCTTAAAATGCTATTTAAGATGATCATTGATGTTTGAGGGGATGTGCAGGACTAGTTATTTTCAAATATAGAAGGGGAGGCCAGATGGATGTGCTGTTGTCGATGTTGTTGTTGTTGAATTCTGCACTTATTCATAGAGTACCACCAGTAACAATTATATTAATTACAGCTTAGGCATCCTTTTAGTTCATAATAGAAGGGTTCGATATATTTTGTTTGGGTAGCAAAGAAATTTGGTAATCGAAATGGGAAACCAAATTTAGCTTTTAAATCTTTATTTTTTGAGATTTTAAAATTCTTAACCTTTTAATATCAACATTATGGTTGGTGTGGGGGGCATAGAAATGTTTTTTTTAGAGTAGTCTAGAAGAGACACATTTCTGCGTGCCCTAAATCAGCTTCCCAACCTACTTAGAAACACTTGGCAGTCTTTTGAGTGAGATCCCAAACTAAGACGATGACCTTATTTTGGCTTACTTCCCTTCTACCATAGAACTAAGGAAAACTCTACCAAAGTCACGTGTTAAACTCTTTATGGTCAACTGCCTCCGTGTGATAAGCAGGAATCTCTATCCTAGGAGTAGATTCTAAGGCCTCTGCCCAAAACTCTTGCCAGAAGAGGAAGGCCCACACCCGCCTGTCTTCTAAGAGTTCCCCCCGGGCTTGCATTCCCTATGCCTAAACTTGGTCGCACCATTTCTGTTGTCCATCGAAGACTATAGATCGGAGGGGCAGTCAGAAAAGAAACTGCGAAACCTGGAAAGGTCCCTGAGCAAGACTGAAAGGAAATAACGGGAAAGAGCACACTCAGACCCTGGAGCAGGTCCTGATGGAACCAAACGTTTTTGGCGAGAGGGAAGAAGGGAAAGAAAATATAGGGAAATGGTTAGATTATTAGCCAAGAATTAAGGATCGGTTGTGGAGGATGTTGAAATGTTGGCCCATCCCACACAACTGTAATTTTTTCATATTCTACTTCTTACCTCTTTCAAAAAGTTGCCAGAGTTTATTGCCACACTTAGTAAATAAGGCAGGGCCACTCTGGAAAGCCCATATCCCTTAACTGCATGACATTCAGAGCCAAACACCCCAGATTATGCCAAGCAGGAGTGAAGGTGAGGAAGGTACCTAGGGCTTATGGGTCTTGAAAGCACACTGTGTCTTTCCAGATGTTACCAAAGTTTTTCTCAATCTTTCAACTTCCATTTATTCATAGTTGCAATGTATTTTGATTTACGACTTGGGCGTGTGTCTTGAATTTGCACATTCAAAGTTCATATCACAAAGATCCACAGTTGATGTAATATCCCTCTGGGGCTCATCCCAGAACTGTTCTGAATTGGATGTTTATTCTGAGTAATTAAGCAACTTGAAAACGCCTGTGATACTGAATTCACTGTTGGTAAATATAGTTTTATTTTATGAAGAAAATAATCTACGAAAACCTCATTTTTTTACATTTACTGAAAATAAAAGAATGTTATCTTTAGTAGTAATATATTTGTTAAATTTTGATTTCCCATCTCTTGCTCTTAAAAAAGTTATTAGGACTTCTTTTCCTCTCCATTTCAGCTGGAGGCTTGTAAAATCCTTTTTCTCCGTGGTTTGAAGGGGCTCTTTGATGTTTTTGCTTTCTTAAGCAATATTTGGCTGTTCCTTTGCATATTTGTACTTACCATTTTAATGTCACCAAAGTACTTTAGTTTTCTCAGAAGGACAGCATCTGAAATACATATTTTCTATAAAAAGAACAAATTGCTAACATTGATTTTTTTTTTTTTTTTTTGAGATAATGGTTTCTATAGACCCGTGTTCAAGGAAGACCAGTAGAAGACTATACTGAGTTATTTGGCCTTAAAAACCTGAAGTTGTAAAAAGAACTAAAGGAATCTGTAATATTTGTGCATAGCACACTATCAGAGATAGGATAGCTGGCTGAAACTGGAAATCATATGAAGCATTTTATGCCATTGATCAGCTAAATGACATTGTAAGCAGCCCTCAGCTTACAGTGCTCTGATACCAGCAAGTCAGTGACATCTACAGTGTTGGGCCCACAATGCCCACCTATGTCATCATCTACAGCTTGTCCCAGCAGGCCACTCCCAAGTTAACTTCTGTAAATCAGCTGCTGAGGGGAGCTTTTGATAGAGCCTCCTCCATCCCATCCTGGCTCTACCTAGGGATTCTCCTCTCTTTCTCCCCACACCTGGGAGTCTTTTAACTCCTAAATGGCAAGGGTTCTTGTTTTTGTCTTTGTTCCTAAATAAGGGCTGGGGCGGAAGCAGGAGAGAGACGAGTGGAAACCAGAAGGCTGCGTAGAAAGGGGTAGAGGTAGGGCACTGATGAGGTATGAGACAGCCAACTTTTTCTATGAAGGGCCAAATATTAATAGTAAATATTTTGGACATTAGAGTCTGTTGCAACTACTTGGTTTTGCCGTTGTAGCCCCAAAACAGCCATACTCACTATGTAGACGAATGGGCTTGGCTGTATTCCAATTACTTTATTTACAAAAACAGGCAAAGGGCCTTTGGCCTACTAACTATAGATTGCCACCCTCCGCCTACTACAAAGCAACGTGTCCCTGGTAAACCAGCTCTGAGATTCTAGAAGAGAAGTCCTTAAAATATTTTGAATAGCAGATAATTCTTTAGTAAATGCGTAGTTTATCAGAGGAACTGAGGATAGCACCCATTTTGATGTTGAAAGTTGGTGTCAAATATAGTTTGAGTCTCACACGTTCATTTCTTTAAAATTCTTGATGAATGAAAAAAGCAACGGTAGATTATCAGCTTCTGTTAGAAAGCAAAACTCAACACTAATAAATAAGCAAAGAGGGGTCGTCAGTGATCATTTTACAGATTACTGAACAGGGAAGTGGGGCTACAAAGCAAGGTAGTTAGAGAGGAGGCCTGATTTGTCCCCTGCATCACACTGCCTGCCTGGCCCTGGAGTCAGTTCTGGGCTTTAGAATAGCAGAGTTTTAGCAGAGTGTATTTGGCAGTCATCTGCATAGAAGCAAAAGTATTATTCTGTTAGACTTTGATGATTAATTATGATTTTTAATAGGCATTGAATAAACCCAAATACCCGTTGAATTTGCCCTGTTGCTGTTACATGTAAAATATCGTTCATACTTCCCTCTATAATTTAACAAATGGTTCTTATGATCTCTGACAGGTTGTTCCTGCCGAAGGGTTGGTCTCCATATTGAAGAAGAGGACTAATACTGTAGGAGAGTATCCTGCCCAGATGCCACAGAAACCATCTAAGCGAAGAGTGAGATTCCAAGAAATAGACGATAGCTTAGATCCAGGTAAGTAAGCTGCTCGGCGCCGTGGCTGGCACAGGGCTGGCCCTTAGCGTTTGCCAAAAGAACAAATTAATGTATCATAACAGGTAACAGGATTTGTAAAAGAATATGTGAACTTAGATGTTTTATCTTCTATAAAAAAAAAAAAAAATTGAATGATCATCGGTTCCTAAATAATTCTTAAGCATTTTGTTTGCTCAAAGAAGTGAGCAAGTTGCAAAATTCAACTCATGGCCTCCTACCCCACAGATGGTTCTCAGTGTTCAGAGCTCATTTCAGTTTCCTTGTTCAGTTCTTTGTTTTGTTTTGTTTTGTCTCTTGGGTTTTTTCAGTGAGTCTGCTATTTTTGTCTTTTCGACAGCAGTGAATGCTCCTGTTTTATAAGTGTGGAAAATATTTATGGATTACAGGTATATTCTCTTGGGTGATTTCTTCTTGACTGTATAGAAGGAAGTGTCTCTTAAGAGCAGCAATTTAACACCATCGCTGTTGTTTGGCTTTTTCCTCCGAGGCCTATATTTAAGGTGTTGCCAGGTTTACCTGAGGCCTAGGTAAATAAGAGTGAGTGGAAATACAGCCAAGAACCTGTCAGTGTGCTTTTTAGGTTTATAAAACTGCATTGTTCAAATAACTGAGTAAACACATTATTGCTTTCTAAGTATGATGTGAAGTGGTAGAGGTTTCTAATTTTTACAATTTTAAAGTTGGTAGGAGCCTTGGAAATAATCACTTTGCTTATAACTAGCACGGTCTTCTCCAGATAAGTGCTTAATTCTGTCTGCACTCATAGACCCTGAATTGTCACTCCCAGTTCAGCTGGATTTATAACTGACAGTCCTGTTTCACTGAGCCATCTCACCTTAAACCAAGCCACTGCTGCTCAGTAACCAGACACGCCTCACGCGTCCACATTAGACAGGGCAGCTCCAATCCATTTCAACGCATGTAGATAAAACAAACAAAATAGATGTTTTTAAATAAACTGTATTTAAATGTTTGTATGTAAGTCTATGATTATGAAGAAAAATATGGAAAGATCCATAAATTAGATTGTTGACATGAATAAGGGGTGGCGGTAGGGAATCAATGCCAAAAAAAGGCAAAGGTGGTGAAAAATTGAACTGACAAAAAAAAAAACCCAAAAGACACAACATTGACATGATCATATTTATTTATTTGTATAAAAATATATTTGTATATGTACATATAAACTATTAAAATCCATTAAACTATAATTTACAAATCACAGAACAATATGATTCCATAACCTTTCTTATGGCTTTTTTGAAGATTTTTATTAAAATATAGCTAACATACAATATTATATTAGTTTCAGATGTATACATAATTCTTATATAAAAATCTTGAAAAAATATTTTTCGATCTGGAAAGAAACACCACCTTTAACAGCGTTTGCCCCTGGGGTGGGAGGCGAATGCGATTGGGTAGGAGAACAGAGGAGAATCTCTTAGACTCTGAGGTACTTTAGTGTTTGAATTTCCACAGAAGGAATATATTCGCCTATTACTGTAAAATCTTCCAAATAAAGTCTATCTGGCTTATATTTTATAAAACTTGTTTTTAATCATCTAAGTCATATTTACTAATCATGAGGAACCTCAGACAGTAATAAAATAGAAAAGTGTAAGTTCTTCGACCCTTCCTTGAGGGTTCCCCCCAGTATTGACTGAGGAGGTTTCTCATCTTTTCAAGACATAGTCTGTATCTATGCCTGTGTGTGTACACACACCGACGCATACACGTGTGTCTTTTCTAAACACAAATGGGTTCGTGACATACTGTTATGTCACTTCTTTTTCGTTTAACCATCAATCTTGGACATTTTCCTATGTGAGAACGTATTTACTTCATTCTGTTAAACAATTGCATAGTATTCGATTAAATGAATGTTCCATAGTTACTTAACTACAGTAACTCAATTATTCTCAACTTTTTGTTATTACAAACTTTGCCGCAGTGAGCTTGCTTATAAATATGTGTGTTATATGAATCTGTAAGCTAATTCCTAAAAGTGTATTTTCTGGGCTCAACGAGAGGAACTATCATGAGGCCACCCCGGTCTTCACCTATTGTCCTGGCATTCTATTCAGTTAGCATACTCTTTCACTCTCAAAAGTGTCCCAGTCTGGAGGATAAATTTAAAATTTAATAGATACTGCAAAATTACCTTCCAAGGTTTTGGTACTCCCTCATCAAGCTAAATGTAAAACGTTTTAGTCTTTCTTATAGTTTTTTATTTTGCCTTAATTCTGAATAATCGTTAAGACTTTTTGTATTTCTTCAATATAGAAAAACTGATGTGGACATTTTTATTAAAAACAAACATACCGAAATTATTAAGCAAAATAACAAGAAATCATTGTACTAGCTAGAATTTCACTATTCCACTAATTGATAAAAATAAAAACGAGTATTAAGATGTGAGTGATCCCACCCAACGTCATTTTTATTGTTTGATATCAAATCAGCTTTGCTTTAAGGCGATCTCATGATGCGAACTCCAAAGATACCGTAACAGTGAGGTTATAATTTGTATTCTAAAATAATGCTATGAGCATAACAAAGAAGTACTGCCTTTTTTTCCTTCATTTTCTTATGGAAGTAATCCTATTTGTTGTATAAATGAGCTAGTTTTAAATTGAGCGTCGACAAGCTCCACGAGCATGTATCTTTGTGATATAATAAGCCCTTGTAGAGCCAATAGGTGTACCAGCTTTCTGTCAGCGACTCCGGTCCCTAGAGGACTAATAGTAGAAACATCCAGTTACCTTAATCAATGAGAAGACACTGGATGCTAGGACTTACCTTTTGTGTTGGTTTAAACATATTCTGTTCTCGTGTTTGCAGATGAAATTGGAGGTGGTTCCTGTATCTTACTGGTCTTGCTGTGCATAGCAACGGTTTTCCTTAGCGTTGGAGGAACTGCATTATACTGCACTTTTGGTGACATGGAGTCACCTGTTTGTATGGACTTCACAGACAACATGGACTTCTATTACTCTAAGTTACTGCAGGGAATGGCAGAACTTAAACACTGGATCTACCTCTCCTAGCAGCATTTAGAGGGACAGGCATGCTGGCAGTGAGAATCAAAGAGTGAAACTTTCTAAACAGTTTTTATTTTAGGAGTTATATAACGTGTGTCCCCCACACCCAGAGAGGAGCCATGGACATCAGAAACAACGACTTTAAGTGGCAGTCCAGAGGACTCTTAGAATAATCCATGTAATAAGGCAAAGGTCGATCTGAGCACTGTGGATGGAAGGAGTGATCTTTGGAGAGCATGCTGTCCTCTTCACTGCCACCTAGTGTAATGAGCTACCCTGAGCAGAGGCAAACAGTGCAGTGTTCGAGCCACACCATTTTTAGCTTTCTCGTCAAGCTAATGGTCAAAGGACACTTTGGGTTTACATTCGTTGGTCAAAGACGTTGCTTCCAGCCATCACTGCAATAAGTTTGTGTATAATCAAAAGGAGTTACCTGTGGTTTAAATGTCTTTTTTTAGTTAACCTTGGGAGCTATGTAATTTAGGGTTTTGCGCATTCTTTCCAGATTCTGTTCTCCATTTGTAAAATGGTTATGTGTGTGTGTGTGTGTGTGTTTGCATGTGTATTCAGCTAATCATAAGCAAATATTCAAACAGAATAACAAAAATTATCTTTATTCTTTTAACTTGACTATAGATGTGCAGGCACAAATCTTCAAAGAAGGCTTAACTATGGGACAGATGAATTATAGAAATCTTGGCCCTAAAATGAGACGCTGTGACAGATCTGTGACAGTTAACTTGATTAACTAGCCAGAAATTAATCACAGTCTAGAAGTAAAATGAAAGAGCTCCCTCTGAGTCTCAGGCAACCAGTTTCATCATGGATTCAGTGCTTCCCGAAGTCTGATGAACACCAGACTCAACTCAATTCAGCAAATGCTTGTTGAACACCTATTATGTGCTGAGAATCTAAGAACCAGAATACAAAGATAAATAGGATATTGGTTTCTGCTCTAGATGTGTTAATTCTGGTCTTATGAGAAAAAAAATAAATAATTCTTTGGCAAATGAAATTAAATCACCATATGTAATTCAGTATTAACAGATCATACATTCAGATGTTTGAATGTGCATCCATATCATGGGCTTGATCTAGACCTATTATGGGGTCATTAAGCGAAAATTCAATCATGTCTTAAATAGGCAAATGTCTGATTTTTGTTTAAATCTGTCAGGTGGAATTTCTTTTTCTGAGGTCTAACATTTAGAAAACCTTGCTTTCACTTTTTCTATCATAGGCAGCATTTTTAAAAAACACACGAGTTATAGTTTTTTAGCAAGTGATCATTATTTCACGTTTTTCTGTTAGGGTAATTTGAAAGAAAAAGGGAGAAATTACTTTCTAGTTGTTACTGGCTGGTACAGTACCTCCCTTTGTGTTTCTGCTTATTTATTTAGATATGTGAATTTTAAAGGGCTTTTGTATAAGTCGAAAGTGTGTTGTTGTGCATGCATTTGGTTATCCCAATGTAGATATTTAATTACAATGTACTTAGCATTTTTGATTTTTCTATAATTTCAATTCATTGTGTTTTTAGGTTTGTTTATTTTTAAATTGGTGTTTTATTTTCACTTATAATACTGTTTGACTTGTCTCTGTCATATCACCATAAACTGTAATATTTTCAAGGATTATAGATCAAAGATATTTATTTAGAAGTGTATAAGATACTAAAATTTAGATTCCTTATACATAAGGCTGATTTTATTAGAAGATTATTTTAATGTTCTATTATAAATTTTAAGAATTTGTATTCAAATTGTATGTAAAACGTTGACGGTACTGTCTCACGTGGTTCTATGAAAACATCCGCAGTGTCTGCCGTGAGGGGTATCCCCATCACAGACAGACTCTTCTGTTTTACCCTCTTAATTTCTAGTTATGGGAATTTGGTGATGCTGATTTCTGCCAGTTTTATGTCAAGATAAGTCAAAACTTCCCTCCTGTTCTCCTCTTTTACGTCACTATCGAAGTCCTAAATCTGTAGCTTCATATTTTCCTAAAGGCCTCCAGCTCTAGTACTTATGAAACTAGAGATTTCCTGGGAACTTTCACACTGAGATGAAAAGGATGAGATAGTACCTTGGTCCTCACGGGCCCATTTGAGTCTCAGAAGAACCGTGTGTGTCCCCACCACTTCCCGGGGAAGGTGAGGTAACCTCAGGAGCATATTGACGTCTTGACTTAAAATAGGCATGAAAATCTCAAGTAGCAAATTTAAGGCAACTTTAAAAAATATTATAGTCATTTATTGCATGAATTGGGTGGAGTAATTCCATCTGGTGATGAAAGAATTGTTATCACACATAAAAATTCATCCAGTTTTACTATACTGTAATTTTTTCTGTCATTTGAAAATACTGACAATTATTTGTAACTAATCTTCCTTAAGAACTGTATTTGAGGGTAACAGATCAAGCTTGTAATTTAAAAATCTACACCAACAAAATGTCTCAGAGAGTTTATTTTAGCCTGGGTTGCTGAGAAAAAAACTGCTCTAAAGTAAAAGTAAAATACCTTCAGAAGTTGGTCTGGCCTCACGAGTAGATGGCAACCTATTTGGGGAAATCCCTATGTAAGGGCTCCTCTGCTCCCTAAAACACCTCTCCTGTCTGTCTTGCACAGTAACTGGAATTTGCTCTAAAAATTCCTTTAGATTTAAAAAGTCAGAATCCTCTGAGAGGTTTACTTTAGCGAGCTGTGAGCTTGTGTGTTATGCTAAGGGAATTCGAAATTCAAAGCTGTCCTGATTTTGAAAGGACGGGTGTGGATGGGATCTTACCCGAGTGCTGGGAGGCTGTGGGATGGGAGCAGCAGAGTGGAGAAGGGGTAGGAACTGAGAAGTGAGAGGGAAAGTGGGAAAAGAACAAAGAAATCCTTTAGCTATTAACCAGTTTTGCTGAAGGTGGCTTCATGGCATTTACCCCAGTCCAGAGAAAGAGAGTGAATTTTTATCTTCCTACTGACATCACCTATATAACTGCCCATTTCTATGGGCTCAATTAATATTAACCCACCTTTGTATACTTCTTTCTGCAGTGTAGTAATATTTGCACTTTTATTCATTTGTTGCTTAGATCAGTAAACACACATTCTCTCAAGTCCAGGTCTTACACCTCCCAGATCCAACATACTTTCCATTTCCATTTGGTCGTGTTGTCTCATCCTCAAAATGAATAAGAGTGGGCTGGGGTTTATGGCACAAATTCCAGTGCTGTCTGCTATTTTAACAACCTCAAAGGTAAACATGATTGAACCTCATGCACTAACCCTGTCAAAGCTACCATGAGTTGAAATTTTCCTTAAGGAATTCTAGTACGATTGAAATCTTCCTGACTTTAGGCCATGAGAGAAAAAGTATGATAACCTATGGGCATCTCTTCTCCATGTTCTGAGAAGAGTTAGTCCTGAACTCAACTTTTTGTCTATTGCCCTGATAACAGTGCGGAACTATGAGCAGTGTTTATTGCTGTCTGAACTCTGACAAACATTTGAATGCTTGCGGTGTGCCTAGCACGAGCTGGGTTCTGGGGCTTTAGAAACAAGAAATGGTACCAGCTTAAAGAAGTTTGCATCTGGGGAGGAAAATGTGAAGGGGGAATAAAAATGCAGAAATCGAGGATCATGGGAGTGGAAGCTTGAGCACATTCCTACTAGGTGTCATGCACTATTATTATGAATAAGTGTAAAAAAATTCTATCTAGGTCATTTGCATAGCAACTTGACAGACAGGAATCTTTACTCACAGCCAAAGTTCTAGTAATTATCACTTTTCACTTCCGGTTAGCATTTATGGCATTAATAGCTGGTGGTCTCTCCAGCAGTGGAAAGCTTGGCAAGAACCTCTTCAAAATTCAAAATCTGAATAGCACAATTGAAAACCTCACAAAACTCCAGGTCTAGCTGCTTTTCCAGTAAATTCTATCGATCATTTAAGTAAAAAATAATACCCATCCTACAAACACTTTCAGAAAGGAGAGTCTACCTGCCAATTCATTTGATGAGACCAACATTACCCTATACCAAAACCAGACAAAGACAATAAGAAAAGATAACAAAAGACCAATATCATTTGTGAACTTAGACACAAAAATGTTTAACAAATATTAGTAGGTTCAATCTAACAATATACAAAAAAGATAATATACTGTCAGGACCAAGTGAGACTTAACCCAGGAAGACAATGTTAGTTTAACATTCAAAAATCACTCAGTGTAATTCACCATTTTAACAAATAAAAAACGAACATACCAATAAATGCATAAAAATCATACAGCATTCATTTCAAAAACAACAAAGTAGGACGAGAAGCGAACTTCCTCAACTGAGGAAGGAGCATTTCTGGAAAACCCACAGCTAATATTAAATACATATTGGAGAAAGGCCAAATGCTTTTCTTCCCAAGGTCAGGAGCCAAGAATGGCCACTCTGATTTCTTATATTCAATATTGTACTGGATGTCCTATAGCAAGAAAGAAAAGCATACCAATTAGAGAGGAAGAAATAATACTTCTTGTAAGTGACATGATTGTTTATGAACAAAATCCTAAGGAATCTATAAAATGCTATTAGAATAAATGAGTTTAGCAAAGTCACAAGATGCAAGTTCATTATACAGAAAGTTACAAGATGCAAGTTCATTATACAGAAAAATCAAGTATTTCTGTAAACTAGCAATGACCAATTGAAACTTGAAAATAAAAATCCAATGAATAAATGAATGAAAATTCATTTCACATACAATAGCATCAAAAACATGAAATACAACTTTAACAAAATACGTGCAAAACTTGTTTAATGAAATTTATAAAACGGTGCTGAAAGAAAAGACCTAAATAAATGGAGAAATGTAATCTGTTCATGGAAGACTCAAGATTGTTAATATTGATCCATAGACCTGACACAATCCCCATAAAACGTCCAGCAATTTTTAGAAATTGACAGGTTATTTTAAAGTTATATGGAGATACAAGTGATCTAGAAGAATGAAATTATTAAAACGAGTGGAAGATTTCTACCTCTTCAGTTCAAGACTGAATGCTGCAATAATCAATCTGAGATATGGCAGAATGAAAGTTCAGAAATAAGTCCCCACGTATGTCGGCAACAAATAATGCTGGAACAACTGTGCATCCCACAGGGAATGAAATAAACTTGAAATAAATGAATCTAAATGTAAAAGCTAAAACTATAAAACTTCTAAAAACAGGAGAAAATCTCTGCGGCTTTTGAGTAAGCAAAGATTTCTTAGGACACAAAATATACAAACCACAAAAGAAGTTGCTTAACTGGACTTTAAATATGTGTGCCCTTTAAACAACGTAGATAGGAAAATTAAAAAGCAAGCTGAAAAGATTGGGGGAAATGTATAATATATATGTATGTTTGCTCTCCTGATTGTGTGGCTGATGGGGAGCTATGGCTTGCTGCCACCACCCAGCATCACAAGGGAGCATTGTGAGGCATATTACTAGCCTACTAGCCTGAAAAAAGGTCAAATTTAAAATTTGAACTCTATTGAATGTGTATCAATTTCACAACCGCATAAAGTCAAAATATTGTAAGTTGAACCATCATAAGTCAGGGACAATCTGTATGTAATCCTAAAGAATCTACAAGAAAGCTACCAGAGCTAATAAATGAATTCAACAAAGTTGTACAGTACGAGATCAATACACAGAAAACAGTTGTGTTTCTAAACACCAGCAACTAACATTCTGGAAAGGAAATTAAGAAGGCAATTTCATTTACAGTAGAATCTGAAAGAATAAAATGCCTAGTAATAAGTTTAACCAAGGGGAAGACGTGTATACCGATGACTACAAAACATTGCTGAAAGAAATTGAAGAATATCTAAGTAAAAAGAAAACTATCCTGTGTTCATGAATAGGAAGTCAATATTATTAAAATGTCAGTAGTACCCAAAGTGATCTAAAGACTCAAGCAATCCCTATCAAAATCCCAACAACCTTTTTTTTCCTTTTTGCAGAAATGGAAAAACTGGTAATCAGATTTATATGGCATTACGAGGAGACCCAAAAAGTCAAAAATAGTCTTGAAAAAAGAGATAAAATTAGAGGACTCACATTTCCCAATTTCAAAACTTACTGCAACAAAGCTATAGTAATCAAAACAGTGTAGGTACTGGCATAAGGGTGAACATAGAGACCAATGGAATACAATTGAGAGTCCAGAAATAAACCCATACGTCTTAGGCCAGTTGATGTTCGACAAGTGTGTCAGATCCATTCAGTGGGGAAAGAACACTCTCTTCAACAGATGGTTCTAGGACAACTGTATTTCTACATACAAAAGAATGAAATTGGACCCCTGCTTCATACCATATACAAAAATTAATGCAAAATATTTTGATGACCTAAGTATGAACTAAATCCATAAAACTCTTAGAAGAAAACATAAGGGTAAATCTTCATGACTATGAATTTGGCAGCGTATTCTTAGATAAGACACCAAAAGCACAAGCAACAAAAGAAGAAATAGATCAACTGGATTTCTTCAAAGCTTTTTAAAAATTTGTACATCAAAGGAAGTTATCGAGAAAAAGAAAAAACAATAGAATGAGAGAAAACGTTTGCAAATTCATCGTCCAATAAGGATTTGATATTCAGAATATATAAAGAACTTCTAGAATTCAACAAAAACAACCCAATTAAAAAATGTGCAAAGGACTTGAATACACAATTCTCCAAAGAAGATACACAAAGTTTTGAAAATAGAGTGTGGTGGTGATGATTGCACAACATGTAAATGTACTTAATGCCGCTGAAGTGTACACTTATAAGTGGTTAAAATGACAAATTTTATGTTACTCGTATTTTCCCACATATGTGCACACAAAAAAATGACAGTATTGGTGAGGATTTGGAACAACCAAATTCTTATATGCAACTAGTGAGAATATGAAACGATACAACCACTTTGGAAAACAAATTGGCAGCTTTCTCTAAAGTTAGGTACACATCTAATGCATGACCCAGCAGTTCCACAGCTGGCTTCATCCACAATAGACAAAAAATCGGAAAGGCCCCACGGCCCCTCTCTATTACAATAGAATCCTATTCCGCAACCGAAAAGAACAAACTGTGGGTACACAAGTGACATCGATGAATCTCAAAATAATGCTTCTGGGTGAAAGAAGCCATTTATATAAAATGTTAGAAAATGCACACTCATTCATAGTGACAGAAACAGATCGCTGGTTCCCTGAGGGGCAAAGGATGTTGGGAGGATGGTATGCAAAGGTCACAGGACAACTTTGGTGATTGTTAGAAATGTCATGGATTGATTATAGTCATAACTTCATGGGTACATACATCTTTCAAAATGCATTGAGTTGTACATCTTACATAGATGCAGTGATGTACAGGAATTATGCCTTAATAAAATTGTTTTAAAAAATAAGTTCAGTTTGTAATTTCATGGCGTATC